AGCTGCAGTTCAACAGCACATTCAAGATCACATCCACCAACCACGACGGCTATACAAAAAGCAAGATTGAAAGACCGGCCCGCGCTCAGTAGACTAAAGGCCGGGAAGGACCGAGTTATGCCTGTCACATTGACAACGCTTGGGATATTGCTCTAAGACACGACTGCCAGAGGTGGAACCACGACGACACTGTCCTCCGGGCCAAGTGCTGCGACCTAGACTGGTTGCACTGAACTCCGCCGGAACGACCCGGGGCGCCTGAAGCTGCGATATTCATCACGGGACATACATCGGGCACTCTACAGCCTTGGGAGCTTCATATGTCCGCATGGTCGTGTCGGACACGGTAATCCAGCGCAAGAATGTGGCTAAACAGAGGCACTGCAGCCTTGCAGAAGACGTATGATGAGAGCTACCTGACGTGCTCGACTGCAGTCTACTACGAGAGCCAGGTAATATCCCAGCCAGGGCCCTTGCTATCTCGTCATACTAACCACGCCATTTTCCAGGGTAACGAACAAGAGGCAATGCGATACTGGAAGTCTGCTTTGGACCAGATCCACCTCAACTCGCCAGCCAAGACGAACTACACCCCTAAGAACGAGACAGAGCGAGCCTTAGTTGAGAGCTTGAAGACTTTGGAGATACAGTGCAAGGAGAGGATCGACCTATTAGAGGCTTTGAGGATATCGCGAAAAGATGACCCGAAGTTGCGCATTGCATCGTCCGAAGACATCGCCGCTTCTCCTGGGGCGGATGCAGGCGAGAAAGGCTGGATTGGGGATGGAACAATACCCGCGATTACATATCCCGAGTTATCGAGACCGCCATTACCACCACGGCCGTCGATGATGTCACGAACATCATCCGAGCGAGCTGTGGTCGGTCGCAGCTTAAGCAGTCATGACGTGGCTTCTCCTCTAGCCTCGTCGTCACAACTACCACCATTTCTCCCCCCTTATGCTGCCGCCTCGGCCCCAAAGAAGAAGATGTCGAGGTCACCCAGCCCGGACAAGCGTACCATGCGAACCACGCTACGATCAAGTAAAGCGGATAAGCTTTCCAAGACAGCTCGAGGCCCAGGGTCGAGACCTGGTGAAAGGCCAGGGGCAAGCAAGGCAGCTACTCTGGCGTGGTCTAGTGTTGGATCCCGAGAAAATGTCAGCAAGATATCGTTAGCGGACGTCCCCACATCGGTGTCGTACTTGGGCGAATCACGGCGTCCCAGCGAGCAAACTCGAAGACCATCTGCTGCACCAGGTTCTCAGTGGGACAGCCATACGCGAAGGCTGGTGGTACCACCAGAGAAGGTTGGTGTTGGGCCGTCGAGCCCTGAATCACCAACTGCATCCTCACTTGCTCTCGGTGCTGCATCGAGTGCTTTGAATTTGCTATCTATGAACGAGAGACGGGATTCTAGTCCTGCAGTCTCTCGAGCAGACCACACACCCAACTCGAAAGGCGGCTCCTCGGCAGCGCAGGATGCATCTCGCAATTCTGCCGTGTCTGGGGCTGAACAGTCTTCTGGGAGGAGTTCAAGTGAGGTACCCATCAGAAGGAAACCGATAAACCGTGGTACATCTATACCGGAACCGAACAGTGCAAAAAAGCGTGCAGGTCGAGAGAAACGCATTGTAAATCCTAAGACCTCTTCGGCTTCAGAGGAGGAGAACACAGTCAAACCAACCTCCCGGAGGAAAGTGAAAGGCAAAGAAGGGGAATCGCCAATCCCAGCTGACGTTACGATGCAATCCGAAGGTTCGGCCGATGAGGAGGATGAAAAGTCAAAGACCACTTGGGAGAAGAAGAAGAAGGCCATACTCAAGAACCTGCCACCGGGCGTGGACAACGCAGCTGCAAAAGCTATATTCAACGAGATCGTGGTACAAGGTGACGAGGTGCATTGGAGTGATGTGGCCGGGTTGAATGTTGCCAAGGCCGCTCTGCGGGAAGCCGTTGTCTATCCCTTCTTACGGCCCGACCTCTTCAAGGGGTTGCGCGAGCCGGCTAGGGGTATGCTATTATTTGGGCCTCCGGGAACCGGCAAGACTATGCTTGCTCGTGCTGTCGCAACCGAGTCGAAATCTACCTTCTTCTCCATATCCGCTAGTAGCTTGACCAGCAAGTATTTAGGCGAGTCAGAGAAGCTTGTGCGCGCATTGTTCGCCTTGGCCAAGGCAATGGCACCGAGCATCATCTTCGTGGATGAGATCGATTCGCTACTGTCCCAACGGTCCGGCTCTGGCGAACATGAGGCCACACGGAGGATAAAGACCGAGTTCCTGATCCAGTGGAGCGACCTGCAAAGGGCCGCAGCAGGACGCGAAAGCCCAGCCGGTGATAAAGACTTGCGAGGTGACGCCAACCGCGTCCTCGTGCTTGCAGCAACGAACTTACCATGGGCTATCGACGAAGCGGCAAGACGGCGATTTGTGAGACGTCAGTATATCCCATTACCGGAGGACGAAACCAGAGCAACGCAGCTGCGGACACTACTGGGCCAGCAGAAGCACAGTCTGACTGAGGCCGACCTTGCGGAACTTGTACTGCTGACTGATGGTAAGTGTGGCATGGAAGTTCTCCCCCTATATAATCACTACTAAGAATGGGAATCTAGGCTTCTCGGGCTCAGATATCACAGCCCTTGCAAAGGACGCTGCCATGGGGCCTCTGCGGTCACTGGGAGAGGCGCTGCTCCATATGACGATGGACCAGATCCGGCCCATCGAACTCGGTGATTTCAAGGCTAGTATGCGCACGATCCGGCCCAGTGTGAGTAAACAGGGCCTGAAAGAGTATGAGGATTGGGCTCAGGAGTTTGGGGAACGCGGTGGCTAGGACCCTTGGAACAAGGCACGGCCGCATACCTATGCAGATGTGAACATGTGGATAAGAAAGCCTAGAGGTGTAAGGACATAGCTTTCGGTGGTATTTGATGGATAGGTCGCCAGTAGTATTAGAGCATGCCTGACAATGCCACTCGAAATTTGTTACGCCGGTCTCAGCTGCTGACTGCCCATGTACAATAGGGTACAATGATGATATATACACTTGACTTACAGTGGTCGATCCTGCATTTCTTTCATCTCCTTCCGCTGAGGTAATACACTGCGTTGGGCTTTTTAGCCCACGCCCCCTGAGTCTCGGTATCCATCTCAACCACAACTTCAGTCAACGTCTTCGATACTTGTCTCAGGCCCCTTCGTCGTCTCTTCCTTTCCCTTTCCCCTCGTCCGTTCCCACTCCTCCATCCTAGCTTTCTTCTGGCCTCTCAGGCCCTTCTCCTCCTCCCACTTTTGCCTCCGCTCCTCGTTCAGGACGGTGCGCCTCTCGAGCTTTGCCTCCCTTTGCTTCGCATACGCAGCCACAAGTTCTTCTTCAGTAGGTACGGGCGGCCGCTCGTCAATGGGCGGGCCATGCGGCGCGATGATGTGTCGTACGATATGTCGCTTGTGGTGTGATGCGCGCCACCCCGAAGCGATGCTGATCACGTCGCCTTGTCGGATGCTATTGTTGGGATCGTGTACTAGAGCGTAAGAGGGGACTTGGAACGACTGTTCGCATCCGAGTTAGCCTCACATCCTCGTGATACGGGCGTCGGTGATGTTTTGTTGGATGGGTGGATGGATGGATGGATGGGTAAATGAGGGTCCGTACCTTTTGCACTTGCTTCTCCCACCGCTTGCCCCAAAGCCGCACTTTGACCGTCCGGTCCATCAGGCCCGCCGACACGACGACGGCTGTTTTAGAGCCTAGCAGCATGCGGCCCGGGTTCTGGCTATGGTTGTTGGCTAGTTGTGACTTGAAGGCGGCTACACGCCCCGGGGCACCACGGGTGGCCATGGCTTGTGGAGGTTCTCGCGACGAGTTTTGACGGAGTGCAGACGTTTGAATTCAAAGTCGCATAGTTAGGCAGGTGTCGGACCTGGTGTTGTCGCTTGAGATCGGGGTCATTTCAGCACTGTGTCTACTACTTCACAAGTCCTCAAACATTCGATAGGCGAGAGCTCGAAATATTTCGGGCAGGGTGCTTGCTCGGATTAACCCCTGCCGATGCATGGTACATCTTAGCGGCTTGAGTGGAGACCGCGTTCGTCCCGTTTGACTTCAACCTCACTTCACGGTGAAGCCCCGGACAGCTTCAGTATAGCTTTTCGAAGAGAACTACCACTTATAGGTCAACAAAGATCATGGGAAAGTTAGAATCTAGGACTATCGAAGACATCAAGCAAGACTATTCAGATCGCGATTTATTGGTCCTTCCTACCCATGGTTCCTAATTCAAGCTCGCAACGGAATCTCCTTACCGGCCTTGGTTTCAATCTGGAGCGTCGTCAATCAGCCGGTGCTCCCTTTTCACTGAAGTTCAGATTCCAAGGTATGGAAGTCCACTAGGGACTGAAAGTAAGGTGTCCAGCTAGCTTATACCCTCTCCGATTGATATCAGACCTGGTGGTGACCACTTCCTCTTACCATACGTGGATAACAACGAGATTAAACAAGTATCTATCGAGGGATGCGTTGCCAGTTAATTATCGGGATAGTACAATTATATCATGCAGGCGGCTGAGAATCAATAGGGTAAGAATCCATAACTAAAGCAGTTCTGAGTTTTCTTGGTGCCCTGTTTAGGGCCAATTTGAAAGATTACATGAACTATTTCAGGGCATAAATATCGAGTGAACGAGTGGACGAGTGGACGAACGGTAGTATATATATCCATATATGTTAGTTACAAGCAGCTATTCTACTCGTTCAGAATTGAAATGTTAATGGAAATGCTGATTGGTGATGCAGGTTGATGTGTTCATCAGCTAGGCAGAATGGGTCTCAATATCTAAATATCTCTCTTTTTTAGAACCCTCTCATCTGCGATACTTGTCACCTGTATGGCACAAATAGCAGAGCTAACCACAGGTAGGAGATGACCAGCAACAGGAGCTCTTGGGGCTAGAATTACCCATAGGAGATGCGTAGCTGGTGTAGACAGGCAAAAGTTGGGCCAGTAGAGAGGATCGAACTCCCGACCTCTTCTATTAAAGTAGTATTACCCAAAAGAAGAACGCTTACCTCTGCGCCACACCAGCTTCTGTTCCTGTTGACAGAACTTCTTGGTATTGCTCATTTTCCGAAACGACCATGGCCAGTGATATCAGCATAACGAAGGTTACCGAGACGACCAGAACGAACGACGCATGAAACAGAAGTGGTTTAATGGTTCACGTCAACCTTGAAAACGGTGGTATTCGAAGACTTAGATATTCATCCAGAGCGTGTGTACTCAGGCACCAACCAAATGAGACTGATGTCGTTCAACATTTCTAGACAGAGCCATTGTTGCAACCGCTTAAGCCTACACATTTCTGCTCGTAGTTCACGTCCGTTCATCTTCTTTGTTGACAAAAAGAGTGTATATTCTGTTCGATTTAAGTTACCTTATTCACTGTCTCACACACTCCCACGGCTCCAGTGGCCACTAATACCTCTCAGCGACATATGTACGAATAATTCTTGGGAATCAACCTTTTGCTAGCTTGGCCAACCCATTTGGGTCGCCGTTGAACATATCGGCATCTCCACCGTAGGTGTAAGCATTAGCATACTGCCAAATTGTCTGAGAGCTCCATCCACCTGGGATATTCCCAATGTTACTCGAGTATTGAGCCAGGACAAGTGGATTTGTCTGCGAGAAGACGTCGGAATTCTCGGTGCAATTTCTCCACCATGACGGGCTGAAGTAAAGCATTGGGTATCGTTTTGTCTTGGAATGGTATGTGTCGCTGAATTCCTTGATCCAGGCCACCATGGCACTTGCTGACAGGCGATAGCACTCCCCGGAGTCGGCAGTCTCTAGATCCAGCATGCCTGGAAGCGTCAGACCATCACTTGTCCATCCGCCGCCATGGGCGAGGAAGAAAGCGGCCTGCTGAGCAGCTGAACCTGAGGCCGAGCTCGGATTGGCGAAGTGATATCCGCCGCGGATGAAGCCAGTCTTGGTGGCCCCCTTATAGTGGCTCGAGAACATAGGGTCAATGGAGCTGGTTCCCTCGGTTGCCTGGTACACTAATTAGTTGGGCTTCATTAAGTTGCTCGTGGAATATTTGGACATCACCTTGATGATAACAAATTGAGCGCCACTGTTGTATGCCGCCTGGAAGTTCACTGTTGACTGGTAATGAGAAATGTCGAAACCCTGGACCTGCGCTTGAGCGATACCGAACAAAGCGATACCAATAAGGATTGCAAGCTTAATTGTGTTAGAGATCATGGTGAATCGTATTCTTGGTCGGATTATAAGGAATCTTTGTCTCTGATGCTATATGTATTCTGTAAGATTCTTCGATGATGAGGCCAGATAGAACGGGACGAGTCGATCCCTTAAATAGATGATAAGAGCCATCACTATGATAGTCCTTTCATCAAGTCCCCGGGAGGTCGTTTTGACGTACATAACGACTAGAGGAGGAGTAACTCAGCTAGAGTGAGCTAGTCTTGACTCTTGAGACAACAGAAGCGGAAAGTCAGAACCCTTAATTTTTCAAGAAGATGCAAAGACCAGCCTCGACCATTGTTCAACCATTCAGCTGCAGCGTCAGTGGCGGTGTGTGGTGTAGCGCCAGTGGTCTACCAGACCAACCCGATCCCACCTCATCGAATAGTTGTTGTACCTAAGCTAGAAAGAGAGATGCTCGTAAATTATTTAAAGAAACGCGGCGGACCAATGCATCGAAGATCGAGATGCCTTAGGGACTAACGGTACGGGAAGCTGAGTTCCCATAGCGTATTTTCTCAATCGCGCTAGCTGGGCTGATGTCTCGGTATAGGTACCCGGTTGTCTGTTGGCCAGTTGTTTCGCATCCCGGACGTTCTGCTGTACCACTCTCAAGATCGTCGAAGTGTTTTTGAAATATAATGACAACGTACAAGACCGCCAAGAATCCAAGGAATGTTAGCTCGATCAATTGCAAGATACGGACCTGCGTTGCCCGCCTTGAAACAACGTGATGTCAGCGGAGAGATCATTTGCCCTTGTTCTACTATGTATACTTTCAACACCGACAGGATTGAACTCAGCTATATCCCTACCGACACACCACACTGTATAGTATTATACTCCATACTAGTTCCAGCGGTGACGCCCAAGTCTAATCACTCAGTGCTAGTTGGTTACTTAGGAGTTCGAAGCTCGTTCATCGCTCCTAAAACCACGGACAATGTGTGATATTCAAAAACCATCGTATGGGCCACAGTTCACTTATTATCGGTTACGTACGCTCTGTTCAAGTACTGACATACCTGCATGAATGCATGGTTGTCAATTAGTCGTGTTGTTGGGCTTTGATCAGACTTTATCCAACTGGCTTACACTCTGTGCCACTTGATCTTATGATTGGCTACTTATAATGTGATTCCGAGTCCTTCCCTACTTTCATGGCATATTGCGATACTTAGTATTGTGACTGTTGCCGGTAATTGTACATATCTTCACCAAATAGGCACGAGTTGCGGCAATGAAGACTCTAGAGTTACTGCTCTTTCTATTCGATGCTACGCAGGCTTGTTAGTTGCCTCAAGCCGACTGTAACACACCAAATGTGTCCTAACTCATTGCTTGCCCTTTTCCGGGTTTCGTCTATCATTGTGGTGACTTGGTAGTATCGGGTTTGTGCCTGTTCCCTGCCCCTGCTTCCCGCGCACACAATATAGAGAATCTGGCATGTTTATGCCAGGTATCAGGTAACACTTAACATACACTGATAGGGGAGTTTTTTTTCATGATGAACTGGTAATTGTTTGAGGCTACCAATGGCTCTTAAACGAGTTGCGCAGAATTTGGTATAGCATTCCTCATTTCCTTATGATTCAAGTAATAGAATCGTCCCCAAGCCCCACCCAAAACCAGACCTGAGCCGTCTTCAGAGACAGTCCCCTTGCTGTATCGATCAAGGACCATAATGAGCAAGCATGGCTCTTCCATGGCTTCCATATGGCTATGAGTTTAGACCTGACCGCTACTCCCGATTAATTACGGACGCCTTTTGGTAACTTCCTGTAATGGAAGTATTTCCCAGCGGATGATATTCAAACAGCATCTAATCGTCCCACGGTCTTGACAAGTTACCAACACACCTTCTATCGCCGCTGCAGATTGGTCTTGTCAAGCAGCGAATGCTCGGCGCGAGTATCGTGGTGCTCGACGCTGGTTATTTTGGTTCTTATTCTGCTGTCGCTCTTGTTCAGCTTGCTGCCGTCGTTATTGCACTACTTGTTCTTGCTGTTGCTTTTGATGCTCTTGCTGCTGCTGCTGCTGCTATCGTGGGGATCGCGCACGAAGAAATGGTTGCTCATGATAAACAGGAAATACCACACTATCTTACCTGCTGGCCTTTTTGGGCTTGCCGGCCGTTTTGAGCTTGTTGTCCCTGTTGAGCTTGTTTTTGGCCCTGCTGCTGCTGGTCCTGCTGGGCGTTCTGATTGTGCTGACCATTGTCATCAACGACGGCACCGGGCCCAAGATACACAGCGTCTTCAGCCTGCTGAGCAGCTGCCTCACCACCCGAGCCACTATTTGCGGCATCATTCACATTGCCACCATCGCCGACAACGGTGAACTTATTGCAGTCATACTGGGGGCCACGTTGAGCAACAGGCATAATCACAGGTCGATGGTTGGAAGCAGACGTGATCGTACAGAGCTTGTAATTGCTAGCGGGGAGGCCACCTAGAACGTCCGCCGAAAGGAGTCCATTGCCGTTTCCAGCATCGTTGATACCCTTGAAGAAGGCAAACTGGGTAGGATCCAGTGGCCTTTGAGGGTTCAAGCTACCCCCCAGGTCTTGGACAGAGACATGAGTGTGTCCGACAATCTTGCCGCCCTGAAGGTCCTGAGGCGTGGCATAGTAGGTGGTGTCGGCATTGGAGAAAGAACCAGCCACTAGGTTTTCCACCTGAACCTGAATCTGGAAGTCGGTTCCTGCTTGGATCTGATCACCACTCTTCGGGTTAATTATAAGAGTCGAGACCATCTGGGTCTTAGCAGGGATATTTCCCATCGCTGACGATCCATCAGTAAACCAAGTTGTAAGCTTGACGATGGTTATAAGGTAAGACTTATGAATACCATTGCAGAAGCCCTCGCCAATCTGCAGACCATTTGTTTGATGTCTTTCCCTGGCAGAAGTTGACGAAATTTTCTTGGGAAGTAGCTGATAAAGCTTGGCCATCATCGACACCAAGATCATCGCTACCATCGACGAATGATCCAGATTGAATCACTGTCGGATCTAGCACAACTTGTGCACCATTTTGCTGCGTCTGAGTGGCGGCATCGTTTTGACCTTGGTCCTGCCCGTTCCGATTCTGTTCTTACCGATCCTGATTATTCTGTCGGTTCTGCTGGGCCGTTGCCCAGCCCTAGAACGCGGCAGCTCAGATCAACTTTTTGGTTATCATCCTGCCTGATTAGGTACTAACGAACGGACTGAACAGAGCCAAAAGGTTCCAAAGAAAACCACGAGCGAGTGTAAGGTCTTGAAGTGTCGATCAGTCGAGAAATAGACGCCCCGATCAACGTGAACTTCTCTTGACGAGAAAGAGAACGAAAATGATAGTAAAAGAAGGTAAGAAGCAAAAGTACCAAACAAACTACTGAGCGACCCGAACCGAATATGACAGTAAATAAAGTCAGAGAACGACCATCAGACGACGTAGGACAGAAGACTATGGAGTTCATATGGTGCTTGACATCCAGGCCGCTCATCAGGTCAGAATATGAGTGCATGTTCTTGCTGATGATCCCAGATGCCATCAGGATATGGAGTTCCCCTGCGTACACAGGATAGCATGAAACTATATGATTATATGATGAGCAGCCATCATCATAGAGGTATATGTCTATCTGTCTATCTACCTGTCGCCCACAGGAGGTGTCAGAGAAACGCAAACGGAGGATGAAGAAAGGGAACGGGCTGTATGATGGAGGCTATAGAAGACGACTCGGGAACATCACCTGGGCTTCCTCACCTCAAAAATGGCGGGTACAACGAACAAATGTGCAGTGATTGGACTGATATAAGAGAGACCTTTG